CAAAGCAATATCCATGTGCTGGCAAAACAAATCTCAAAGCCAATGACATCTCAATGGACATGAAGTAGGACATCTTCCTGAATCAACAGCCTCTGTTGGTTCTGGAACAACAATCATAGTCCAGACCTCATCCATTGCCCACTCCTGAAGAGTTAAGAATGAGTCTGAAATCTGTTTGGTTGATAGGAATGTTGTTCTAGGACTGACTCGTTACCCTTAGGAACATATTTACTGTGATTTATCCAAGAGGAGTGATTAACCCTTCAACTCTAAACATTCAATTTGGTCCATAGAGGCAAAATAACATCAGAAGCAGCAGAAATCACAGTTTGGTGCAGGGGCAAGACATGCAGTTAGCATGCTTTATTATGAACTGACATGTGAACATTAATTTATAGAGCAATAATTGCATGTCCTGGCATGACTAGGCTATAACGCCTGCTGCAAAAGGCTAACTTTACATCAAATAGGCTGCATAGAAGTTAAATGTCCTTCCTTCAGAAGTACTACTGATGTTTCACGGTGTATTAATAATGAAAGACGGGTGAATGTTTGAAAGATGGATTGAGACCGAGTTTGTGGTGTTGTGATGGAGTTATCTGCTAAGACAACAAATGAATGTGGAAATGAATCAATGCACCACTTTATGGGTTTGAGAACACTTCACTATCATAGTAGAAATGGGAAAAAATGAGACACAGAAAAGCAGAATTACCCATCTCTCCACTCTACTTTCTGCTGGCAGACACGCACAGACTTCAGAATGAAGGAATCGAAAACACACAAGCCTAAATCACCAGACGAAATCATGTAGAATGTGTCATCATGGGACGTGCCCATCGCTCGCTGTGTGTTAGTGAGAAAAGATTCAATCACAGAGATGAAATGTGTGGACACACCAGAGAAAGGCCACGTTTACATTGCATCCGGATCGTTTACAGTGAGAAGACTTAAAGGTGCTACGGTTATCGTGAACGCACGCTGCACCTTTAAGTGCCTCGGGGATGAGCGTAAATGACCACAGATCAACTCATTGAGATCTCATGATGAAAAAAGCGAGGAAATCAGTCTATCGGTCACAGCAGAGGGAGGAGGTGGGGGGAGACAATAAATGGAAATCAGCAAGAAGCACACTGGAGGTTAGGAAAAATACTATATTCTTTATTGAGAGATATTAGTATATGTGGATTTGTGTCATAATGATAATAAGTCCATGCAACAAATAAAACAACATTGATCAATAGCAAGGCCCACCATGCTCAGTACAGGGTTAACAGAACAAAAGCAACATCCAATGAGCAGATGCATTGGCTACAGCACGTTACAGTACAGAAAGATTACATTGGAGTCTATTTGATGTAGAATCTAAATAATGTGATTCATGCACTGAAGTCTAGAACCAGAACAAAAGGTAGAGAGACCACAACCAAACAATAGACATTTGCATTGCTCTAATAGAGGATCTCGAGTAGCAGTGCAGGAAATCAACATCCCTGCCAAATGGATGGATTTTGGACGCAATTGGAGCCAATCGTCAGCTAGTTGGCGTGTTACTCATTTGGGTGGTTTTCCTGAATGATCGTGTAAGTGTTCTGAAGAAATCAGAAGTGCGATGAATGGAGCGCACGTTATGCATGTGACAGCTGAAGGTTCTGCATCCAAATGCATCCATTTTACAGGAATTTACAAACATGTTGACTACCAAAGCTGGATGGGACACACACCAGTCACTCTTCTAGAGCCACGGATGTGGGTTAAACTACAGCACGTGACACACACACAGTAGTTTATGCTCTAAACGTGTTAGGCTCTGGTTTTAGTGCGTGTTTGTTCTCGGGAAGGGAGCAGATCTGAGATGTTTGTCGTCTTCTGATGGAAAGAGGAAATGAGGAGGGATCAGAACACAGATGATCATTAAAACACAGTGATCTGATAATGCAGAATGTAGATTTCAGCCTCCACAGACTACGAGACAGGAGATAAGAACAGAAATAATGCACATGAAATCAAAACCATGAGACAGGAAGATCAGAAATCAAAAAAAGCTTCATGAAATCAAGTGATGGAGGTAAAGTCAGTGTGTTGTTTTTCCCTCTTTAGATAATTGCTCAAAAATAATTAATGCTTTTAGACACATCAGCTTTTGTTTGATGAACTGCAGGTACTTTCTGAGGCTGGCACAACCCGTGCCATTCATAAATTAGCATTACAAGACTCTAGTTAATAACTGATGTGTTGATGTTTTATTTGTTGTTCGTTGAGCTCAGGCCTTAAATAGCATCTTAAGCTTTCTGATGTAAAACCAAACCTCAACAAATAACATACAGCGCTCAAATGCACGATAAAACGAAATGCACGATAAAACGAATATCCTTCATAGGACCTGCAGCAGCATATAGAGCAGTCGTGGGGTTTAATAATCATGCATTAACACGCAAAGGCCCTTAGATGTGATCTGATCGTGAAATAATGCGTTATAAATACCTCTATTTCTCACTGAGCCAAAGACAGGAAGAACCAAATATCCGACATGAACTAACACCATCCTTCAGATCTTCTTTTTGATGAATACAGAGGAATAAATAATGTACATTCAGCGGGATCACATGCAGTCAGTCGCCGCGAGGACAAAGAACAGCGGCGGCGGCGTTCGATTCGCCAACAAATCGTTCTGTTGAATCGGTTCTTCTTAGTGATTCGATCGAACCGAGTCGCGAAGCATGTACCTGTAAGGAAGGATTCGATCGAATCCGTGAATCGCGTTTTAAACAGATTCGAGCGAACCGAGTGAATCAAAATGACCAAAGCTCGACCTGCACATAAATCTGACCGCTAGAGGCGGACAAAATGCTTATGATGATTAGTTGAATATCAATAACTACACCACAGTTGATCTGGCAGAGCTTTAATTGCAGCAAAAAAAATAATTATTTACAGTACCATGTTTCATTGGTTCACTAGCACAGCTGCCAATGAATTAAAAAAAAATCAGGAAACAGAACATATTTTTGTATGTGATGCATACAAAGTTACATATAAAGCTATTAAAGGCAAACAATTGTTATTCAAGTGCTTGGATATTTACAGCTTGTGGTCTTACCATTTGCATTAAAAATAACAATAAAAATGAAAAACAAAACCCACAAAGATAATTTAATTCATTTTGCATTAAACATCATAATACAACCATTTGTTTATATATATATATATATACAGTGGGTACGGAAAGTATTCAGACCCCCTTAAAAGGGTCTGAATACTTAGGACCATGTGATATTTCAGTTTTTCTTTTTTAATAAATCTGCAAAAATGTCAACAATTCTGTGTTTTTCTGTCAATATGGGGTGCTGTGTGTACATTAATGGGGAAAAAAATGTACTTAAATGATTTTAGCAAATGGCTGCAATATAACAAAGAGTGAAAAATTTAAGGGGGTCTGAATACTTTCCGTACCCACTGTATATATATATACAATAACAAATTAATAAAATATACCAAAGAATTTATTGAATTCAATGTTATGAGACACTTTGGTTTTTCATTTTTGGCTCATACCTACTTTCCTTTTTCTTTTGACAATTTGATACAAAAAAAAAAAACTTTAAACAACTTTAAATCATAAAATAGTGTCTTAGAGACAAGTGGACAAGCCATTGGTTGTAACAGTCTTCATTTCACATTTAAAAACAACCTGAAATAAGACATTTACACTTGCATATGTTGGTTACTAATATTATCAGATAGAAATGTTGGATTGTTTGATGGATAGGGATGCATACGCTCTTAAAAAAAAAAAAAAGATGCCATAGATGAACCATTTTTGGTCCCCAAAGAACCTTTCAGTGAACCATCTTTTCTTAACGCGAAGAACACTTTAATAATCTGAAAAATCGTTTTCCACTATAATGCAATGGAAAAGGTCCCATGCATGTTAAAGATTCTTCATGAAACCATCGTTTCCAGTGAAGAAGCTTTATTTGCATCTGTTTTAAGTGTGTTGAAAGATCCGTGTCATGCCAAAATCAAGTGGGAACACAGCCGTCTGGATTCCTGAAAGCCCAGTAGGACCTAAAACGCACTGCGGAAAAAGTTTAACATTTAGTGGCATGATGGGAATGTTTTTCTTTTATGTTCTTGTACCGCATAATTCCCAATGATATTCATGATTCACTGACACGGAGCAGGAACCTTTAGTTGAATAAATAACCCTATGAGATCTGTAAGGAAAGAGAAATACATTTTTACACTGGCGAGTGTATATACGTGACCCTGGACCACAAAACCAGTCATAAGGGTCCGTTTGAAATTGAGATAAGCTTTGCATTGATGTATGGTTTGTTAGGATCGGACAATATTTGAAAATCTGGAATCTGAGGGTGCAAAAAAATCTAAATATTGAGAAAATCATCTTTAAAGTTGTTCAAATGAAGTTCTTAGCAATGCATATTACTAATCAAACATTAAGTTTTGATATATTTACGGTAGGAGATTTACTAAATATCTTCATGGAACATGATCTTTACTTAATATCCTAATGATTTTTGGCATAAAAGAGAAATGTATAATTGTGACCCATACAATGTATTGTTGGCTATTGCTACAAATATCCCCCAGCGACTCAACACTGCTTTTGTGCTCCAGGGACACATATACAGTCACTGCAGAGCGAATATTGTTGCACTGCCGCTGTATTTATCATGATGACATTTTATTCTTCTCTACTGCTGTGCATTATGAAAAATGACATTTTCCCCCCAGTAATATTATAAAAGTGAATCAGTTGTGGAAAGGATTGCATGTTACTGTAAGGATGGAAGGCAGGACGGTGCGTTCTGTCTCACTCGGTGCTGTCGTAGTGGTTCGGTGGATCTGACGTCTCCTGAAGACTCGCGTGCGAGATCTCATCTTTATCTGACGTGCGTTTGGCATTGAACATATCCGATACAAAGAACACCTGCGTTGAGAGAGAGAAGTGTGTTGGTTACAGCATGGCATTGTACGAGTCCAGTGAGAACGTCACTCCAGTGGTGTTTATAATCAGAGACGCGCGACAGACCCACGTAAAGAGACGCCGCGATGAAAGAGAACTGCAGAGTCGGCCGAAGCAGTCGAGCCCAACTTGCTCTCAGTCTAGACTGGACATACAGCTGTAAAGAGAAATATATATGTATATGATAAACATCACTTAAGGTGAATAGGGTAAAAATCTAAACAAGTAGATATCACTATACTGCTCTAGTTGATTAATATTCAAATGAGGCATTATCTAATTAAATATGCATCAATTTTGAAAACATTTCCAGCACATAAATCTAAAGACTGGATAATGTCAGACTTGACTTGGTTTAAGTTCATTGCCGCACAGCTTCAAAGATTATACATTAGAAAAACAGTACAGTAGTGCACAATACACAAATAATACAATTCTATAAAAGATTCTTTAAATATGTACTTTTGAAAGAAATGGTAAAAGTTTTTCTGGGTCCATCTTGTAAAACAAGTCTTTAAGAGTTTGTCCTGATTGGATAATTGGGTTGATTTTGTCGTCACGTTAGAGTTAAAGGATGGATTTCTCTTTTTATCACTCGATAAATCAGAAAATACTGCCAACAGACTGAAATCAAACGTGTTTTTAGGAGTGAAATGTTGTATAAATCAGTGTGAACAAACCTTCATCTGTTTTGTGCGTGTAAGCGACTTCGGAGATTTGAAATCTACAGACGCAAATAGATGAAGTGCAATGAAAGAAACACTTAAACTTGTGTTTTGGATATGTGCTTTCCACCAGAGTGAAAGAGGACTGCGGTCACGCTTCCGTTTAGTTAGCTTCATTAACTAACATTCCCAGTATCTATGTTACTCTGTTTCCAGCCTATACATTGTTTGTGTATAGCATGCGGTCTCGCATATTGAGTTATTTAATAAACCTAGTTTTATTTTTATCAACATCATCGTCTTCCCTGGAGTTTGTGACGTTAGTGCATTAAAAAAAACAGTGGTTTTGCCTGTAGCATCTTGCTTTAAATTTAATGAAACCGATGCGGTCATAAAAACACACTTACAGCAAGAAACAGCATACAGTACATGGAGAATGATGAGTGGCCAGAATAAAAGGAAAGCCTGTCGGTAGAAGATTGTACGTCATCATTAGCAAACCAGAACAATGTGTTGTTTTCTAAATCAAACAATGCACTCACAGATTCAATGCAAAAGCGTAAAAATTAATTTTACTTTCTGAATGCGAGTGTTAGTTGCACTGTTTTGCGCTCACCGGCCTTCATTGATGATGACTGGATCTCCTGTGCATGTGAAGTTCTCAATATAACCGGATTTACAGTCAATGAGGCTCCAGTGAGGTTTACACACCGTCAGAAAGTGCGGCCGCAGTCGGCCGATGGTGTATTTGGCGATGTCGGTCAGAGACTGACTCAACGCCGCTCCAAACACGAATGATCCCACGGCCTTGTACACACACACTATATACTCATAACTGAAAGAAGCTCTGGACCGCACATACAAGGAGATACACTCACTGAAGATTATCTGTGGTGAAGAGAAAACAAAATGCATGATGTTTTCATCTGAGATCAGAGCCGTATTCACAAAACATTCTGAGAAATTGATCAAAATGAGTCGAGTTTGATTAAAACAAGAACACATATCTGCCAGTGGGCTCAGAAAAATCTACTTAATTCAACATTCATTTTTTGCATTTAATTCCTCGACTTTCTGAATTCAAGACGTTTCAAGGCCTCGATTAGGCGAATTTTAAGACCTTTTTGATACCTGCAGAAAATGTTAGCTCTTACATCATTCATGGAACGTTTTTTTTCCTTCTTAAATGTTGTACTTTTTAAAGTTTTGTTTTTTTAACGTTATTACTTACCTGTAAAATGATAACACAAAATATTCCCTTAATGTTTTCTCTAACGTTTGCATAACCAAGAAATTTTTTTTATTTTTTATTTTTTTTTTTAAAACGACATTCAGAGAGCATTCCCTTAAGAAAAATAACCATGGTTTTATTGTAGTATAAGTGTAGTAACCATGGTTTTTTGGCATATTGATAACCATTTGCACGAATTAAATTTATTTAATGTCAGTTGATTTTGTTCAATTAAAAGATTTAAATATCGGTCAATTTTTTTCGATTAACAGATTTAAATATCGGTCAATTTTGTTCGATTAAAATATTTAAATGTTGGTTGATTTTGTTCAATTAAATTTATTTAAATGTCAGTTGATTTTGTTCGATTAACAGATTTAAATATCGTTCAATTTTGTTCGATTAACAGATTTAAATATCGGTCAATTTTGTTCGATTAAAATATTTAAATGTTGGTTGATTTTGTTCAATTAAATTTATTTAAATGTCAGTTGATTTTGTTTGATTAACAAATTTAAATGCTGGTCCATTTTGTTCGATTAACAGATTTAAATATCAGTGGATTCTGTTCAAGTAGCATTTAAATGTCGGTCAGTTCTGTTCAATTAACAGAGTTAAATATCGGTCAATTTCGCTCGATTAACAGATTTAAATGTTGGTTAATTTTGTTCAATAAAATGATTTAAATATCAGTCGATTTTGTTCATTAAAATTATTTAAATGTCAGTTGATTTTGTTCAATTAACAAATTTAAATATCGGTCGATTTTGTTCAATTAACAGATTTAAATGTTGGTTGATTTTGTTCAATTAAATTTATTTAATGTCAGTTGATTTTGTTCAATTAAAAGATTTAAATATCGGTCAATTTTTTTCGATTAACAGATTTAAATGTTGGTTGATTTTGTTCAATGAAATTATTTAAATATCAGTCGATTTTGTTCATTAAAATTATTTAAATGTCAGTTGATTTTGTTCAATTAACAAATTTAAATAACGGTCGATTTTGTTCAATTAACAGATTTAAATGTTGGTTGATTTTGTTCAATTAAATTTATTTAAATGTCAGTTGATTTTGTTCAATTAAAAGATTTAAATATCGGTCAATTTTTTTCGATTAACAGATTTAAATGTTGGTTGATTTTGTTCAATGAAATTATTTAAATGTCAGTAAATTTTGTTCGATTAACAGATTTAAATATCGGTCAATTTCGTTCGATTAACAGATTTAAATGCTGGTCGATTTTGTTCAATTAACAGATTTAAATGTCGGTCTGTTTTGTTCAATTAACAGATTTAAATGTCGGTCTGTTTTGTTCAATTAACAGATTTAAATGTCGGTCTGTTTTGTTCAATTAACAGATTTAAATGCTATTCGGTTTCATTCTAGTGAGAGATTAATTTTGAAATAAATTGAATTTCTGCTGTAAAGCAGCTCTACAGAACTTATTATTGTCCTTCAGCTCAAACATAATAAGTGATTTATATCTCAATATAAGTTCATATTTCATCATTGTCTTTGAATAATTGTCAGATCTGTTCCTCATGACTTGATATTGTGTTTGTATTTGTGCAGATGATTGTTGATCTGCTGGTGGAAGATGATTTGTCCCAGCTGACTGTGAGACGCCTGGTTCAGCGCTTTATCCTGCAAGCACAGTTTAAATGTCTCGCTGGATAAATGCGCGTGACAGACGGTCGGATGCCACACGTGAAACAGGCCGCGTGACGGAGCGCGAACCACCATCAGACTGCTGTGGAGGAACTTCCTGTAGAGATGAACATCTTCTGTAGCTCCGCCTTTCACAGACACATCAAATCCACCTTAGAGGAAACAGAAGATCAAACATGGAAAACTCAACCACACGGCAGAATCTCACTGCATTACCTGTGTTGATGAAGTCTGATCGGTACTGGCACGTCGTCCCAAAGTCAAAATCCTTCCAGAAGCCAAAATCTTTCCTGATCACCTGCCAAAGAAATCACATTTTCCCAAGACTTAAAGCTGCAGTCCGTACCTTTTTTGGTTAAAAATGATCCGAAATCAATATTTTAGCAAGTACATAACCATAACATAATTTTGATGGCGGATTGTAATCCAGAAGGGATTATGTGTTTATGAAATACATAAACACATAAAGACTGTACAGAAATTGAAATCTACTCGCTGATACACACTATATACACATAGTCACGCAATGCTGATGTTGTTAACATTAACAATTTGAGAACAAAGTATAAAAATAATAATAATTTGCACAGTTTGATGTGATGTGAGCTAATTAACAGATTGTTCGATTTAATCACCATTGGTAGCACAATCAAATCCACCTTAGAGGAAACAGAAGATCAAACATGGAAAACTCAACCACACGGCAGAATCTCACTGCATTACCTGTGTTGATGAAGTCTGATCGGTACTGGCACGTCGTCCCAAAGTCAAAATCCTTCCAGAAGCCAAAATCTTTCCTGATCACCTGCCAAAGAAATCACATTTTCCCAAGACTTAAAGCTGCAGTCCGTACCTTTTTTGGTTAAAAATGATCCGAAATCAATATTTTAGCAAGTACATAACCATAACATAATTTTGATGGCGGATTGTAATCCAGAAGGGATTATGTGTTTATGAAATACATAAACACATAAAGACTGTACAGAAATTGAAATCTACTCGCTGATACACACTATATACACATAGTCACGCAATGCTGATGTTGTTAACATTAACAATTTGAGAACAAAGTATAACAATAATAATAATTTGCACAGTTTGATGTGATGTGAGCTAATTAACAGATTGTTCGATTTAATCACCATTGGTAGCACGGTTTATTATAATGCGTTTTTCCTCAGTTGGTCAGAACAAAAGAGGCAGACCTGTTACTTACTCGTTCAGATGACAATATCTAGTAAAAATTCTTATTTGGGTTATATATTCCAAGACGTAGGCTAGAATCTGTGATTCCTAAATACAGTATCCACACATTCACCTCAAAACATTAGATTAATCCGCGCTGGAGCCACGCCGGTGCACAACCCACATAATGAAGATAATTTCGCAAATAACTGCAATTGCAGGTTTCAAACAGAGGTGGCGACAAAGAGGCAAAACTTACGGACTGCAGCTTTAAGTAAAGATGTACTTCATACAGTTTTCAGAATTATATATTTGGTAAGTTACATAGCAACTAACACTGAATAAAGGAGATCTTACCAGCTGATCTTCAGCAGAAGGAATATGCTGACCATAGATGACCTCAGGATTATACAGGCTGAACATCACTGGATAAAACACCTTTTGACCTGTGAGAGCACATGAGGAGTTCAATAGCTCCCTCTTGTGTTAGCCTGCAACTAACACTGTTTCTGACTCGAATCGTGCTGCATAATGAATTTGTACTTCTATCATCTAATCAGTGATGATACAAGGTCCCAAGATTTAATGGAGGGAGACTAAAACACTCTTTTGTGCATTTGTTATATAAGATTGTAAAGTCTGGTGATCCATGTGGTAATAACTGCTAACGATCATGCTGTCACACAAGAATATATATCATATAGCTTGTCTGTCGAGGGTCCAACAATCTAAAACCAAATTAAATATATTTGCTTTATACACTGGGAAAAAATGGTGTAGAAACAATTTTCACTCAGAACGGCTGAAATAGTATTTTCTTGTAAAACATTCCTTAAAAACACATTTTTTTATAGTCTACTTAACCCTAATTTCAAAAGAACAAAGTTCTAATATTCATTTTTTTCACAAACTTAAAAGACTTTAAAACGTTGGCATAATGATGTAAAATAAAGAAGACAATTCATATTATTGAACACGTCTTCATTGTTTACTCTCATTTAGAACAAAACTGGCCATTATGTAAATCCCTTAATTACTTAAGAACAATCAGGCATGTTTTTCAGACTTATCAGCTATGATGATAACTGATCATATTTTCATTAATACTTTTTGAGAATCCCTTACTCTCATTTAGGATAAAATCAAACAATATTTAAATCTCTCAAATTTTGGTTGCATCGTGTCGGGGTCAGATTGATTTCCATGATTCCTCCTGCAATTAACAAAAATCAACAAAGAAAATCTTTATTGGAGCCTGTCAAAGACTAAACTATGAAATACACGAGATCTTATGATATTTAAGAATCAAAGTTTACTTGAAATTGAAGACTCGTCTTCTGATTCATCCAGGCAGAATTCGCTGTTTTTTATCTAGTTGAGTTTCACAGTCAAAAAGTCTGCGAAAGGATGTTTTTGGTTGTTAGTTTTTTTTGGGATCTCAGTCTTTTACAGCACAAAAAAAAGAAGTATGAGAAACCCATTTTAACCTGTCTGTGCAGCTCATTTTTGAACATATAAATAGCAGAAATGTGTTAAATTGAACAAGGGAAGAACCATTTTTAAACAGAATAAGAGTTATTGATTTCTCATATTTTATATTTGTTTAGTCTCTGACAAGCTATAGATGTTTTGTGTTTTTGCTAGAATGTTTTTTTTTTCATTGTGTTGATTTTCGGTGAATTGCATGTTTTTCAACACAACAGGAATGCTTTAAAATGCTCAGATGTGTGTTTGAGTCACTGCCGCACTGATATTTGAGCTAGACAACGCTATAAATGCCAAAAGATCACTAATATCATTGTTATATCATCATATCGCATTTTTATAAACCAGAAAAATGCTAAATAAATGAACAAAACATTTTTTTAAGTTTGGGCTCCTACACATTAGATCACTCGCACCCAAAGCAGTTATTGTAAATGAAATGATCACAGATAATAGTTTTGATGTACTCTGCTTGACTGAAACCTGGCTCAAACCAAACAATTATATTGGTCTAAATGAGTCTACTCCACCAAGCTACTGTTATAAGCATGAGTGAACATCAGAAATACAATAACAAATGTAGATTCTACAGCGTATAATACTTTAGCTTCATTCATCGCACCAAAAGATAAACTGCAGTGCTTTACAGCTATAGGACAGGAAGAGCTAAATAAACTTATTACTGCATCTAAACCAACAACATGCCTGTTAGATCCTGTACCCACTAAATTACTGAAAGAGTTGTTACTTGTAGCAGAAGAACCGCTTCTTAATATTATTAGCTCGTCGTTGTCTTTAGGTCACGTCCCAAAAACATTCAAGCTGGCGGTCATTAAGCCTCTTATTAAGAAACCACAACTAGATCCTAGTGAACTGGCTAATTACAGACCCATCTCAAATCTTCCTTTTATGTCTAAAATTTTAGAAAAAGTTGTGTCTGCTCAATTGTGCTCCTTCCTGCAAAAAAATGATCTCTATGAAGAATTTCAGTCAGGTTTCAGGCCCCACCAGAGCACAGAAACTGCACTTGTTAAAATTACAAATGACATACTTCTTGCGTCAGACCAAGGCTGTGCCACATTGCTAGTTTTACCTGATCTTAGTGCTGCATTCGATACTATAGATCATGACATACTCATAGATCGATTACAAAACTATACAGGTATCCAAGGGCAGGCTTTAAGATGGTTTAGATCCTACCTGTCCGATCGCTACCACATTGTTCATTTAAATGGGGAGTCATCTCAATTATCACCAGTAAAACATGGAGTGCCACAAGGATCTGTCCTAGGTCCTCTGCTATTTTCGATATACATGTTGCCACTTGGTAATATTATTAGGAAATACGGGATTAGTTTCCACTGTTATGCCGATGATACTCAACTATATATCTCAACAAGACCAGATGAAACTTCTAAATTATCTAAGCTAACGGAGTGTGTTAAAAATGTAAAAGAATGGATGACCAATAATTTTCTCCTATTAAATTCGGATAAGACAGAGATATTACTTATTGGACCAAAAGACAGTACGCCGAATCTCGTGGATTACAATTTACAACTAGACGGATGCACGGTTACTTCCTCTACAGTCAAAAATCTGGGTGTTATATTAGATAGCAACTTGTCTTTTGAAAATCATATTTCCCATGTTACAAAAACGGCATTCTTCCATCTTAGAAACATTGCCAAGTTACGAAACATGATACCTGTTTCTGATGCAGAAAAGCTAGTTCATGCATTTATGACCTCTAGACTGGACTATTGTAATGCCCTGCTAGGTGGTTGTCCTGCATCTTCAATAAACAAGCTACAGGTAGTCCAAAATGCAGCGGCTAGAGTCCTTACCAGGTCAAGAAAATATGATCATATTACCCCAATTTTGCAGTCTCTGCACTGGCTACCTGTTAAGTTCCGTATCAGTTACAAAATATTATTACTTGCCTATAAGGCCCTTAATGGTTTAGCTCCTGCGTACCTAACTAGTCTTCTACCACGCTACAATCCATTACGCTCCCTAAGGTTGCAAAACTCTGGACTTTTGGTAGTACCTAGGATATCAAAGTCCACTAAAGGAGGTAGAGCTTTTTCGCATTTGGCTCCCAAACTCTGGAATAGCCTTCCTGATACCGTTCGGGGTTCAGACACACTCTCTCTGTTTAAATCTAGATTAAAGACACATCTCTTTGGCCAAGCATTCAAATAATGCATCTCATAATCTTGTACTGCAGTTATACTACTAAGCTACTACTAAATATATTGTAGAAACTTAATTTTCTGTAAAGCTGCTTTGCAATGATTTGTATCGTGAAAAGCGCTGTACAAATAAACTTGAATTGAATTGAATATTATTCGTTTTGAAAGAGTTGTTGACAGGCGTTTGGGTATTCTCAGTGCTGTACCTGGTTCTGTGTTCATACGGCAGGAGTTCAGGAACTCTGCACTAAACCGAATGTTCACATCACAGAGAAACAGGAGGACGTTGCTTCGCTTCCAGGCTCGAGCGCCGAGATCCAGGCCTCGTCGTCTGGAGAAGGCTTCGTTCAGACGGATCAGAGTCACGTTCCTGTATTTCATTCTCCTGCGGGACAGAGACTCGTCTAGAGTTTCATCATAACAAATCACTGTGCTGTGAAACATTCTGGCCAAAATACAGTTTTAAAATATGTTGTTAACAATGAAACTCAATGAAATATTTTTTTTTTAAATTGAAAATATATTTAGTTTCAACTTTAATATTCAGAAATACATTTCCAATTTTACAGTAGCCTACATTTAGGATTAATTCATTATGTTCAAATGTTCATGTTCACATGTGTTGCAGACAACAAATAACATTTTTCTTCAAATATATAAATGTATTTTCTTGGATTGAAATATATGGAGGGCAAAATTTTCAAACATTTTTAAATTATTATTTTAAAAAATATATATTTTCAATATATACAAAAACAAAAATGGCCAAAAAATATATTTATAGAAAATAATTTTCGTAAATATATTTTGAAACACATTTTAGCTTAAATATATTCTGCCCATTTATTTGCTATATGGACTAACATACAGTATATGTATATATATAATGTATTATTTTTTTTTATTTTTAAATTTTTTCAGAAAACAATCTGACTAGTATCTTTAGTCATTTTGCTTCTCAAGTAAATATATATTTGTACTGAAAACAAGATACATGAATGTATTTCCATGGATTAAAATATATGCATATATTTATATTTTCATATTTATATATTTTAAATATATCTTCAATGACCAAAAAACATATCGGTAGAAAATATATTTACGTAAATATATTTTAAAACACATTTTAGATTTTTTTTTTTCCTTTCTGTAGATTTTTAAATACATTTTTGCTGTATATATGGAAGTGAGTTTATTTGTTTTGTTTTATTTTCTTTTATTTTCTCTACCTTGACATTCCATCCAGAATTCCTTTCACTTCATGCATCTTTTCTGACCCAAAAAGCACCACGGTGAGATGCGTCCGTCCATCCTGACGAATGCAAGCATCACTGAGACACAAGGAGAAGAAATGAAGCATCACATGACGTGCAAACTCACCGACGGGTCAAAAGAGGTTCGGTTTTACCTGAAATGTTGCATGAATTGTCTGAATGCATCCACTGTGTCGGCCAGAGGTACGATTATATTGATGAGGATCTGAGATGCATCCATCAGTTCCTCCTTCACCTTCATCAGCGGTGCGAAAGGACGGAAGAACACCAGCCTCCTGAAGTCTGGAACGCTGTTTTCTCTGAACGTGAGATCGTATAATGTTCCTTTGTCCCTCTCTGTGCGAAAGATTCCTGCCATTAAAGAGAAATTACATTTGAAGCAGCCTCTACTGTAAAAAAAAAAATCATCATAATTTTAACAACAAAAGACTGTATAAATGTAACCTGTTCATTTTTAAATAATAGATCTAGATCTAAAATACGTATATCTAAATATTCTTAAATCGAGATACCTTTACTTGAGAAGCAACATGATTTCAGATATTAAGATAAAAACATAATCAAAATAAAGTGAGTTTTTGCTTAAAACAAGATCAAATATCTGTCATTCCATATATATACTGTATATACTGCAAAAAAAAACATTTGTGTCTTGTGTTCTAGTATAAATATCTAAACATTCTTGAATCAAGATGCATTTACGGTACAAGATTTAAGATATTAAGATTTAAAAAAAAAAAAAAAAAAAAAAAAAAAAAAAAAAAAGTGTTAGTTTTTGCTTAAAACAAGCAAAAGCCAATGCGGTAAGAAAAATAATCTTAATTCAAAGGCTAAAAAATAGTATTTTTCTTGCCCCACTGGTAGATATTTTTGCTTGTTTTAAGCAAAAACGAATAAAATTTTTATTTTTTATTTTTTTACAGAAAACAAGACTTAATATCTTAAGTCATTTCACTCGTACTGTAAATGCATCTTGATTCAAGAATGTTTAGATAGGCCTATTTATACTAGAAAACAAGACAAAAACACTGAGTAAGAATCATTTTTTGCAGTGTTTTTTAGGGTAATGCATTGTGACGAAGCCTTGTAGTAATCAGATTGACCTTCATAGAAATGTTGAGGAGAGTAAACCCTGCGCTGCTGTGAGTCTCTGAGCTGAGGTTCGTTCAGCAGATGCAGCGCTGCTTCTAGCGCTCCGTTCAGCTCGTTCCTGCGGTCCTGACCCATCAGACTTTCCACCGGGAGTCTCGCCAGTCCGCTTTCCAGCTGATAGACCTGGCGGAGGGTGAAGGTCTCAAACGGCAGCACCGCAAACTCATCGGGCAGCCGTTCTCCGGTGAAGATCTCGGCCCGTCGGAGCTGCTTCCGCAGGAACTCCTCCAGCTCTGACTGGTTCTGTTCCTCGAGCTCCACAGCGGATCTCTGCAGCTCTGCTTTCAGCTGTGAGATCAGTCTGGTGAGGTTCCTGCTGTGCTGGAGATAGCGCCGCTCATGCTGCTGCAGTAAAGCCTCGAATGCATCTTCCCCTGCTGGACGTCTGGTTTGGCTTTGAGACCTGCAGGCCTGACGATACAGGAGCAGAACGAAGCAGAAGAGCAGCGCAGCAATCGCACGCTTCCCCAGAAACCATCGCCTCTGCATGACTGACTGTAAAGACACACAGGTCTGGTCGAACAATGCAGATTTGTGCAACTAAAGACACCGTTTTAGTAAAAACATGATGTGATCTGATCCATTGCTTCGGTTCAGAATTCAAGTTTTTTCGTTTTTTTGATGTTTCAGCAAGAGTGCATCTGAAACCACAAAAACAAACAGGCGTCGATACACTGCAGAAAAAGATTCTCTTACTTAGTGTTTTTGTCTTGTCTAAACATTCTTGAATCGAGATGCATTTACTTGACAAGCGAAATGATTTGATATTAAGTCGTTTTCTAAAAAAAAAAAAAAAAAGCATTTTGCTTTGCTTAAAACAAGCAAAAATATATACTAATGCGGTAAGAAAAATAATCTTAATTCAAAGGCTAAACAAGATTATTTTTCTTGCAGCATTGGCAGATATTTTTTCTTGTTTTAAGCAAAAACTAAACATTTTCATATATTTGTTTTTACAGAAAATAAGATATAATATCTTAACTCATTTCACTCGTACAGTAAATGCATCTTGATTCAAGAATGTTTAGATATTTATACTAGAACACAAGACACAAATACTAAGTAAGAAAATCATTTTTTGCACATGGTTGTGTACGTTCAATGCACTAATAAACAAAAAAACACTGAAAAATATAAAAGTCAACATAAATACAATCGGCAGCAGAGTTATTGTCATTAACTAAAACTAAAAAGCATTTTTTATTTGTTACCCGAAGCTAAGTAAATGTTAACTGAAATAAAATATTTAAAAATTCAACTAATTTCAGCTCGTTGCCAAGGCAACACTTACTTTAAGCTAAGTAATAAATAACTAAACCTAAATTTAATGAATCATTAATGAAAATGAATAATAAAAATAACGACGAAAACAACACATTTGTTAATTTATTAAAATGACTCAAATTAAAGTTCAAACAAAATATGAATTAAAAAATGGTATGTCTCTTAAATAACACTGATCTGTAACAATAACCATTTACTGAAATTAATGTTGTGTTAAAACAGACACATATGAGCCTTTGCACTATTCACTGTTGCCCTGTTTAATACTGTAAAGCTGCTTTGACACAATCTGCACTGTAAACAAATCTATATAAGTAATGGTGAAGATGTGCAGGTTACACGAGTTATTTTCAGCAATTACACCATATTTGCTAAACTAAATCCAATACTTCTTACAAATGTTTGCTGCTGATTTCAAAAATAGTGTCTATATATGCTTTGCTGGAGAGAGTCGCCATTTCTGACTAAATATATGATGCATTTTGTAGCATCTTTCGGCAAGCGTTTAAAGGTGAATTAGTCCTGTATTCTCTCTTGAACTCTCTTGATCTGATTCTCAGCCCTTTTTCACATGCATTACATTATCTGATGACAATCAGCTTATTTTTCTCCCTTCTTCTCCTTTGCAGATTTTAAGTTCTTGATACATTTTTAATGCTTTTTGTCATTTGACTGCTTTCATTATTTTGATATTACAGCTAATACAATCTGAAAAATCTTATTTTGTGAAAAACTGTACAGGTAAAGTTTTCATTCATATTTTTGAACTCAGCATCAACAAATAAGGTAATATTAGGCCTTTTTTTTTATTTAATTTTTTTTTTACAAATAAGCAGAATATTTTCCCAAGACGTAGGGCTGTAATGTTTGTCATATTATTTTGCACATTTTTCACGTATCCAATAAACATTTCAGATCATTATTTCCTGGTTTCACTTTTTTTTTTTTCACCTCCAGTTGGACAAAAAAACTCTTATTTGAGATCAAATTGCTGTAAAAACGTCTTGAAATATGATTCTAAAAACACTATTTTATGATGTTATATTCAATAATGAGCTACATCCTGTTTGAAATTATTTGAACAGCATTTATTAAATCAAGCACATGTCTACTTACTGTTGTTGATCAGTCACGCAGGTAATGTTCAGATGCAAGCTGCATTGAAATGTTTACCCTGTCCAGCATGTTTGCATATTACCGGCAGGATCCTGAAGGGGCCCTCTGTGTGCAGCGGCTCCGTCATGAGGCATCATGGGTAATGCAGAGAGCCGCTCAGTGAGCGCTCTGTTAGGCTCCATGCAACTCCTCCCATCAAAACTATGAAAGACAGGCTGTTCTACAGGTGCTAGAGTTCAGGGCCCGTATTCACAAAACACTAAAAACCAATGATAACCAACTGCATAACCATTATAACCAATGAAGCCAACTGCACAATGAATCAATTTAATGTCTACACTTCATTAATAAGAGGAGAAAGCACACAGAACTCACTGAACAACACTGAACTCCGGTGTTTTGAGCAGTGAGTGGATTATCACTTGAACGCCTCTGATTGGCTGCTGCATTCCAGAAATCAACAGGTATGTCTGTGATTGGCTACATTGCTCAACGCTTCATTGTAATTATGCTCTCCAGAATGCAAACACACATGCACACATGTTTTTTTTTTATCGTTCTTGTTGCTTTTGTGTAACAGATGGTCTGAATCAAAAGATTCGCGAACTTGCTCCAAAGTCCTGATTTGAATCAAATGATTTGCAATACGTTCTCAGAAGTCCCGCTCTGAAGCAAAGGATTGGCGATTCACACTCCAAAAATTCAGAATTGAATAAAATTATTAGCAATATGCTCTTCGAAGTCCCGATCTGAATCATTCATGATACGGGCTCCGGAGTCCCGATCAGAATCAAACTATTTGCGATTCAGAGTTGAATAAAAAGATTTGCGAGATGCACTCTAGAGTCCCGATCCGAATCAAACTATTTGCGATTCAGAGTTGAATAAAAAGATTTGCGAGATGCACTCTAGAGTCCCGATCCGAATCAAACTATTTGCGATTCAGAGTTGAATAAAAAGATTTGCGAGATGCACTCTAGAGTCCCGATCCGAATCAAACTATTTGCGATTCAGAGTTGAATAAAAAGATTTGCGAGATGCACTCTAGAGTCCCGATCAGAATCAAACTATTTGCGATTCAGAGTTGAATAAAAAGATTTGCGAGATGCACTCTAGAGTCCCGATCTGAATCAAATGATTTGTGATACGCGATCCGAATTCCAGATTTGAATCAAAAGATTCACAAAGCTGCTCTGAAGTCCCGATCTGAATCGAAATCTGAATCGATACATGATCCAAAGTCCCGTTTTGAATGAAAAGATTCGAAAAAGGTGTCGACAGTTCATGAAGCAGTGTTTAGTAATGTATTCAAAGTAATAATAGTAATATGCATTGCTAAGAACTTCATTTCTTATATTCACTTCAATATTTCGATTTTTTTGCACCCTCAGATTCCAGATTTTCAAATAGTTGTATCTCAGCCAAATATTGTGCTATCCTAACAAACCATACATCAATGGAAAGATTATTTATTCAGCTTTCAGATGATGTATAAATCTCAATTTCACAAAACTGACCCTTATGACTGGTTTTGTGCTCCAGGGGAATTAATGAATTTGTGTTTCTAAAAAAATTTAAATAAATAAATAATTTTGTGTTTTTGAATCAGGATTATCGCTGCTATCGAGAATCAAATTATTCAAGATTCGTTCTCATAAATGATCAGATGCATTCAGAGAATCTGACACCAGTGTTGTGGGTAACGCATTACAAGTAGCGCGAGTTACGTAATCAGATTACTTTTTTCAAGTAACTAGTAAAGTAACGCATTACTTTTTAATTTACAAGAGAATATCTGAGTTACTTTTTCAAATAAGTAACGCACGTTACTTTTCCCCCCCCCCAATGTATTGATTGACAGCTCTGGTGTCGCCATGGTGACAGAAATCAGAAGATGTTACTGTAGTTCTAAAATAAATATGAATATGCATTAATTCATCTCACTCACACAACACAGATTCAGTATTCCTCAAAATGAATAAAAATAATGCAACTCAGAATATGACGCAAACCTGCAATAATTAAATGTTAAACAACACAAATATGCTTTATGTATTTAATCCCATTCTATTAACCAATGTCTTTGCTTCTGACCTTCGATGATCCAGTTCAACCATAATTATAAGCAAACATTACTCTAGAGTCTAGACAAACATTTGTGTCTTTTTTATTGCTGAAGTGTGTTGAAATGGCTTCTTCTGCATTCTACTGTACGGATGTA